TCTTGGTCTTGTTCGAAGGCCTGGAGGCAAATCACACCGCACTTGCATTGGTGCCAGCGCCGGCGTGGTCTTGTGCGTGTGAGCGAAGGGACGCTACAGTGGCCAACACGTCCCACACGTTCATCAAGACCTTGATTGATCGAGCGCAAATCACCACCGTTTCCAGAAGAGTGGTTAATAATAACAATAAATAATGACGACCGTTGGATTGGACAGTTTTACCCGACGGCAATGGCAGCATGGTTTCTGTTCATTCGCTGGCTGCTGTCGGACTGTCGGACTGTGTACGCTACACACTTCGCGCCATCAACGCTCGAGCCCCCGGAACCAGCTCGTCGGTGCATGTCGATCAACAAGAGACATGCCATCGGAGAAATGGGACCAGAACATCGATCGCTAGGGAATAGAAGGATACAGGAAAAAACCCTTTCCCATGAGCCAGCGGCGATCCCCCAAACTTTGACGGATGGCGCGCCACCTGCCACGGCGGATGACGGCACTTAGAAAAAGGCACGAGATGATCAACGGGTTGGCGATGCAGAAAAGAAGCAATAGATTGTCGCCGCGCATACTTCGCTTCGCATCGCTTCGCTTTCGCGTGCTGTCTGGCTGTCTAGGCGGGCTGGCACATTTCTAGTGCTTCTGTGACTGCTTCCAAGATCGCCGCCCTGCAGAACACCAGAGTTTATCTGGCCACTATGCAGTCATTACGAACGCCGGCGCATCAATGGAGCAGCATCTGCTTACAGCGGTATCGTCTTTACCCTGGAGCGAGGTTTTGCACTCCGGCGAACCAGAACAACGAAGCCACGACTGCCACACCACCACCCATCTATCTATCCCCCCTCCATCCGTCTTACCTACAGCACAGTACCTAGACCAGGTAGTGCCTAGGTATCCCACTCCATCATATCCCACACACACATACACACCACCCGATTGATATCTCTCGGATGCATACGTACGTACGTACATACATACACATACAGGACGTGCGCGCATGCATATCCTCAACTCCACGACTCCAGAACGACGTTAGACCCTTCCCCACACAATCTTGGCGCCTCTGCGCAGCTGTCCAGGGGTCCTCTGAAGAAAGAAACCTCCCGAGGGTGGTGGTCCAGAGGCTAGTCTTGCAGTCCTGCAGTCCTTCCTTGCTGCAGCGGTCCTGGTTCGCAACGGCTGAACGGTCGGGGACAGGCCCCAGCCCCCAGCCAGCCTTGAGGGCAGAAACGGCTCGGGCACGGTTTAACCGTACGTCATGGCAACTGGCAACTGTGGCTGCCATTGGGGACCTGGGCCTACTTGTCTAGCGCTGGCGGCTGCCCTCCCCCTGTCGACCTGAGCGATGGCCGGATCGCCCGGCCTATTTCACTTATTCACTCCATCTCACCAACGAGACGAACGAGCGGCTTGAGATGGATGGGAAGTGTGTGGTTTCACGCATTGGGCCCCACTGCTGGACTGGACTAGGCATGGTGACGGGATTGCGTTCGGGCCTGCTTAGTATTATCCATGTGCTGATGCTGATGCTCGGTTTGTATCGGGGCGAAGCACACGTGCCAGAGCATAAGCTCCTGCTTGTGCTGATGGCGAGCTGCTGCTATGTTTTTGGCAACGCTCGTGTGTAAGCCTGTCTTTAGACTGTGTCTGTGTGTGTAGTCTGTGTGTACACTGGTGCCGTCGGGTACGGTAGCATCGCATCCTAGGGCTGGCTGACTGTCTGCGACCTCAACCGCCACTACGACCGCCCGGCTTCACACTCTTTCAAGCGCCTACAGATCTTGACGATCCATGGCTTGCTGACCATGCACACGCAGAAGTCAATCCAACTAGCTCACTTCCTAACCCAACAGTACCGGACGATCAGCGGCGAGACGAAAAGACATCGGCGAGAATATTAACAACAGATCACGGCGAGCCACACAGCACGGCGCAGGCAAGCCAGCTAGTCTGCAGGGCGTCCTAAGCTTTTGTGCTGCACGCCACCACCAACACCCCAACCTAACTCATCCTTTTCCTGGGGGGCCATCTACGGGGGCCATCTACTACTGCACGTTCAGGCCAACCGGTCAGCGACGCTGTGCGATGCAAGTAAGCGGTGCAGGGCCGATCGAGCTGGTCGATTTCGCCCAAGTGAGTGATTGAGTGCTCACTCGCCCGCTCGCTCGCCTGCTCGCTTTGCTAGCTAGCTTGCTTTGCGCGCGTCACATTATGGCTTGAATTGTGTGAGCCCGGATGCCCCAGCGCCATTGATCGATCACTTAATTATCAGACCTACCTCCGCCGAGTACTACTGTCCCCCCTTGTGCCTTGCCCAGTCACCCGCATAGTGGCCCGCCCACACACCACCCTGGCTTCCCCGAGGGTGTCGTGCTACCCGCGTACCTTGGTCTGGCTTCGGGAGGGCGGGCGGTGCGGGTTTTTGGAGGGACATGGCATGACAGCCAGGGCGGTCCTTCGGGGTTAAGGTAAGCGAGAGCGACGTCTGCGATGTGGCTTGTGAATCGCCACTCTGGTGTGTATCCTGGCTTGAACTCTGTAGGGCGACTTGATGCCATGTTCCGGTGAAGGGTTCCAATGTCACGACGAAGGTGTGCGTGCCTTTTTGGTGACTCAATGGTGTATTCCCAGTGACCGAGCCTGCGAGTGATGATGCTCTCGAGAGTCTCCTCAGTGACCTGGCGAGGTGTAGGGATATCACAAGGGTGAGCTGTTTTAGCTTCAGATCTTCTGGGCACAGAGGACGAAGTAGAGGGCTGAGTACCGGAGCCACACACCTCCTTGGAATCTCAGTTTATGTAACCTCAACTAGATGATCTAGGGGTAAATTGTGTATGTGGGCGCCGCCGCCGCACACTGCTGTTGTATGACCGCAGCAGCCCAGACTGTAGTGTGTGTCGTGCAACTTGAAAGTGTCGAGGAACATGTGATTCTGGTGCCCTCACGACAAGTTGCATGTGTACTCTGACTCCTGCGGCTTGCGCCTTATGGAGTTTTCTGGGCTGTACATGGATACATGCATGTGGGACTTGGGACGGGGTCTGGGTGTGGAGCTTGCGCGGCATCTCATGTCTTTGAAGTCTGACGGAGGCTCGTTACTCGCGTCGTGTGTCTGCTCATGTGATTGCTGAGCTCGGATGAACGACATGGTAACGACTTGGGGACTTTCGAACTAGGCAAATTGTCACTTGGGGATGTGTGGACTGGGCGAGGAAGCACATGTCAACTAAAGAAATGACACACTGGCTACAAAGATACCGTATACCTGCTTGCCGTCGACGGTGGGGTATATTGAGATCAAATAATTGAGCATTGATAATGCTGAAAGCGTGACCATGTTTCTGTTGGAAATCAATGTCGTTTTCTAAGTATTATCCAATAGGCGACTGGATTCTCTGAGCAAGGCATGAATTGCCTTGCGAATACAAAGAAGTCAAACCCGGTCGAGCTACAACTAGTTCAGGTCTTCATTCTTGCTCGAAGATCTTTGGACAGCCGGTATCAGGTTTAGAAGGCTCGTAGTAGTTCTGGTCTACCTCGTAATCCGCCCATGACAGTTGTACTAGCAGACACTGTTATGGTGTACCCAGAGGCGGTGCCAGCCCGGAGCTGGAAGCAAGAGACGACTTCGTTGCCAATACGAGCGAGCCTCTCCTCTTGAGTGAGCGTAGTTTAGTTCAGGTCCGTCATGGACACCACTCAGCCGCTCCTCAAGCTAGGCTAGGAACTTTTCCTTGTTCCTCTAGACGTCTTCAAATGGTAGCGGAATGACCTCCTTGACATCTCAGAGAAGGAGAGCTGTGACCTTCTCCATGAGAACCGTTTCGAAACTCATGATTCGCGTCTAACAAGCTGGGTATAAAGGCGCTAGCACTTCTCAAAGATGAAGTTGAAACAAAGCTCCTGCTGCTCAACAAAGTATCTCATGCTGCCCCGTCCTCGCCAGATCGTCAAAGATAGACATGCCGTCAAGCAGCCCAGAATCTAGTTTGTCAGAGCGTGACCTTGCTGCTGGCAGATGGGGCTCTCGACTTGCCTCGCGACAAAGCCGCGTCAAAGAGGTCCATCGCCCCGATCCCGTCCACCTTTTTTTTTTCTTTTCTTTTTTTTGGCAACGCACTTTCACCAATCGGAAATTACAATTATACCGTTCTTGCTCGAGCTCGACGATGTGATCCATCACCTCAACCTTCTCCTGTTCCTCACCGAACGCCACGATCGTCTCGCCCGCGACGAGCGCGCCGTCCTCGCCCTTCGAGAAACACTCTATAGAGGCTTTGTCGTTATGAAATGCTGAGAGCCACTGGACTGTACGGAAGTCACATATCGTGCCAACGTGCCCAACTGCGCAAGAGATTTGAAGAATTATTGATGGTACTCCAGATTTGCTTTGTCTTTGAGTACAGTGGCGACGAAGGGGTAAATAATGCATTTGTATGAGCAGATCATGGTGGCATTGTGCCTTAGTATCATGTGAATTGCGAGGTAGGGTGACGTTGTAGAGAGGCGTGAAGATGACTTGCAAATCCGGCGCATTCATGCCTGTTATATCATTACTCCTTTTTTTAAGGTATCCGATAATATGTCTTGCGCAATAGTACATCGCATTAGACAAATATGAAGACAATCACTCAAGGTCAGTCGTAGCTGAAATTGATCATGCTAATTGCTGGGTTCTACCTAGCAAGAGAGCAGTCCGACGACAGTCCTTGTTGAAGGATATGATCTGCCTTGAATACCGCAACATCAACGAGAAGGGGACGAATTCCTAGTTGATCGGGAATTAAATGGAGTGCGTGACGACTTAAGAGTTGATTAGCATGTCAAGCAATTTGTTCAAATACGAACAGAATGCATGGAAGGGCGTTAGACGAAAGCTGAAGTCGTCAGATAACTTGCATTTATCTAATCATAAATTGATTGAAAAAGTGAAAAGACGTAGAAAAACGATGACCCAATTCTAATGTATCCAATGCATAACGGAATGACTTTTCGCATCACAACGCCTTCTCTAGATCCTTGGGCTCCACTGATGACTCTCCTTTCAACCAGCCCTGGGCAGCATTCCTCGTGGGTTCATAGTAGTAATACCACCCCACAGCCACCGCAAATGTGATTATGGTCAGCGGAATGGTAACCTCGAACCACCGCTCGAGTGCGAGACCCGAATACGATGTATAAGAGTAGTCTGCTGGCCCGTCGCCGTCTTGCTGGTACTTGACCACATCAGTGCTGAAGAATGTCTGGGGAACCAATCATCGTTAGAGAATCAGGCATTTCAACTTTGGTCACATGTTAATGGCGGTCCCTTACCGAGGAGAATGTTGCTGGTAGATAGATCAATGTCATTACAGCAATAACTCTCATGATCTTAGCCTCTTTCTGCTGCTGGAAGGTCAACTGCTCGACTCGATCAGTAGCACGGGCCTGGAAATGTTGTTGGATCTGCGAACACCAGTCAGCCAACTTTGATTCTTGTTGCTTTCGATGTGTCTGATTCTTTTGGCAAATGAGAAAGAAACGTATTCTTACAAGACTTTTCCTGTCCGCAGTGATTTTCGCCAGAGTGCTGGCTCGGTCAGAGAACATCTTCGTGTCGTAGATAAAATCACGGAGCTGGACGGTAAAGTCTGCAGTAGCCCGCTTGCATGCGGCGTTGGTCCCAAGCTCGAAATCCTCGTTCTTGACAAGACTTGCGTAGAAGCAATTCAGGGACTCGAGGACTTTGGCATTGGCATCGAGGGTCATGACAGCTTTGTTTATTTTGTCCTCTAACATTTGGACGTACGTCAGGTCAAATGTTGTTGGGTCGTAGTTTTCGTCGACGAGCGCTGTTTTTGTCTGGCACATTGTTAGCAGCCGTTTCCAGACTCGTGGTATTGAGGTTCAATTAGACCATCATTTACGCTCGTATCATGACTCACCTTTTTTTCTAACATTTGCTCAAGCCACCGCACGTATCCCCTCCAGTCTTCGCTCGCATACTGAGCCAGCATCAGATGGATGGAGAGACTTGCAATGAAGCTGTCTTCAGCTGTGGTGTATTTGCGATCGGCAGGCCTGGACTGAAGCTCGACTTCGTCCTCGCTGCCGTTGGCTTGACCTGTTGCTGGTGGTTTCTTTTCGGTCTGCCCAGTCAGTTTTTGCACCCTCTTTTGTAGGTAATCTCGGGCAGAAGTAATGATCCAGAGACTCGTCCCTTGTTTCATATCGAATTGATGGTGGAAGACAGCCTGACGGACAGACCAATCCCACTTTTCCTTCTTGTTAATCACGGCTGACCATGATGGTTTCTCCTTGCTTTTGTTTGTTACCGATTTCAAATTGTAGTTAAGCTGGAATCCCCGGCCAGATAAGGCGAGGTGAGGCAGACTCAAACCGCATGAAGTTGTAGAGAGCCGGATAGTCTCGCGGAAGCTGCTGAAGCGGAGATCAGACACGTCTTCATCGTCCTGCCTCTTCTTGCAGAATGCGGATACGAAGTCTATGTAACTTGGCATCACTTGAAAGTATGTGAATATTCTTTCTGCATGAGAGAGGGACACATCGAGTTTGGCCTGGCCACTTTCTGCTTGTAAGAAGCTATTTGACGATTAGTACGAATCCAAGTACTCATTTTCATGCGTCAGTACTATAGTTGTTGCGTAGGTCATTAATATCGGGCTTACATGAATCTGCAGCGAACATTGTTTGTGGTGGTTGAGCCGTCTCCTTTTGGTGTGACCAGCCAGGATGAGAAGTCAGCATCCTCGACAAGTTGCCTCAGACTAGCTTTTGACTTCGTCAGTATTTTTTTTGAATCGTGTAGTGTGGTACCAGACTTTGCAATACCAGAATGAAGGGGATTTTCAGCTCCACTAAGTTCTAGAACTTTGACCTTACTCTTCATGTAAAAGAGATCAGGTGCGCTTTCCTTCAGTAGAATCCGGTGGGCAACGAGGCTACCATTGTTGGAGACATGGTAAGATAGGTTCAGTGGGTATTTCTTATAATCTCGACAAGACGCGTTGAATTGAGTTATGGACGATGGTACGCTCATGCTGAGGGTCAGTATTGATATGCTTGGCAAGGGATGAGACTTGATTGATAGCTTTGCTTGAAACCGAGGAGATGAACAACACGGGTTCTCTCGTCGTAGATGAACAAAATTTGCTGATCTGTACTCGAGCAACTACAGGACCCAAGATTCCTTGGGAGATGTCCCATTTTGTTTTACGTAGAAAGGCGCAGCTGCAGGCTGTCCAGGGGGCACAGGCTACCAATCAGCCCTGGGTTGATTTGTGGCCGCTTGCATGTGGGTGACTTAAGCCCTGTCAGCTGAGCTTTGAAGCGCCCCCGGCTACGCCTGGGGTTGGCGAAGCTTTAAGGGAGACCTGCCACGTGTGACAAATTTTCAGCTGCTCCTATGAGTTGGAAGAAGTAGAATAATTCGAGTGCTTGAGACCACGTGGGTTTCCACCGCAGTGGGCAGTGGGGGACGAGGCGCACACCAGTGTCCCAGGCACCATTAATGGATTCCTTCTACGGACGAGCAGTGGATGTCCAACCCGGGCTTGAAAGGCTGACTGATCTATGTGACAAAATTCCGTTCCACTATATACAAACATCTCATATTGGCTATGCAATCTCAATACTTCAAATGCACCTGTGACGATTTCCGATGGCTCTTATCAGGCCCTGATGGCCGACCTATCCGTTGGGTTCCTACTGTCTGCCAAAGCACCTTTATTTATTCTCTGTCGGGATGGTAGTCCCATCTGAGCTTGTATATTTCTTCTTTGTCTTCGGGTGTCAAACGTCGTGGTATTTTAAAAACGTAGGAATCGCCATTTGTGTCCTGTGAAACCAATGATCATCAGTACATATTGCCACCCTTTGGAATTGCCCAGCAAGTACGCTCTTAAATGCATTGGGGGACCTACCGCGACGTCAGTCCCAGAGTGAAAGTCCGGAAAGCTGCTCACAAGCCATTCCCGCAACTTTTCCCACTCCAGGTTGTATATGCTACATGATTCCGTGTAGATCACTCTTCGCTGTGGTCGTCGAGCTTCTCTTTGTAGATCCCGGGCCGCAAAGGGTCGCATGGTAGCTTGACGCGAATCATTGGTATCAGATCGTTTTGCAGACCGGACACTAAATCGACTCGCTACCGTGGAGTTCGTCGGCGTACGGAACTCCACACGCTGGTGCTGCGTTGGCACTGCAGAAGGGCTTTTCAGCGCGGGTGCATACCGATTCGAGGGCGTTGCAACAGGCCCTTGGGTCCCAATGATATCTGCGGACCTAGCAGGAGCTATTACAGAATGTTGAGGTTGGTTTGTAGATGATATCCGCGAGCCTTGAACGTCTGCATCTTGCGAAAGGGGGGCTGGATGGGTCCCGGGAGGGGTTGCAGCTGCGGCAGTAAAAGAGGACGAGGTGGTCACTGGAGACAGGCTGGGAATAGGCTGCGAACCTGCAGGTTGATCTCGGCCCAGGACCCGACGAAGCAGCCTCCGCAAGCCGATCATTTCGAGACACTTTGGCTGGAAGATGGCGACTATATTTCGCAGAATCACTGTCTCATTCGGTCTGGGTGGCAATACGTGTTTAATACAGAGAGGTATCAAGCAACAGATCCACGGTAAATATATGAACGTGTGCAAAAATCGTTTGACACAGCCTCGATGACGTCGGACAGGGGATCGACCAAGTCCTACTGTGATGCAGTATATCTAGGTACGCCTTCAGCGAGGAGATGGCCCCCCGCTGGGTCTTGTGGTGGCTGAATGCCAACGAGCACCGCACTAGCACTTGCACTACCACTCTTCTTCTTATACTTTGGCAGTTTCGAGAGGCCCATACTACTTCCGCCTAGACGTGCATCTTGCTGCGCCTTTCAGTTGTCAGAGGCTCTGCATTGAACGGCATCCAGGCGCCCCTCAAGGGAATGGCGCATGCAAGTATGAGGCGGCCCTGAACAGGGGCACAGAAAGGGCTCTGGATCACAGAATGGGCTCTGAACAGGGGTATAGAATGGGCTCTGGACAGGGGTATAGAATGGGCTCTGGACAGGGGCACAGAAAGGGCTCTGGATCACAGAATGGGCTCTGAACAGGGGCACAGAATGGGCTCTGAACAGGGGCATAGAAAGGGCTCTGGACAGGGGCACAGAAAGGGCTCTGGATCACAGAATGGGCTCTGAACAGGGGCACAGAATGGGCTCTGAA